TCATCCGGGAGGGACTCAGAGTAGAGCCGCTGCTTCTCCACGTCGAGAGGAGCCAGTTGAGGTGGCTTGGGCATCTGTTTAGGATGCCTTCTGGACGCCTCCCTGATGAGGTGTTCTGGACACGTCCCACAGGAAGGAGGCCCAGAGGAAGACCCAGGACACGCTGGAGGGACTATGTTTCTCGGCTGGCCTGGGAACGCCTCGGGATTCCCCCGGAAGAGCTGGCCCAAGTGGCTGGGGAGAGGGAAGTCTGGGCCTCCCTACTTAGGCTGCTACCCCCACGACCCGACCCTGGATAAGCGGAAGAAAATGGATGGATGAATGGATGGATAAGAACATAAACTAACATATCCTGATGCATGGTCAATAATCCATGTAGAAAAATCTAAAAAAGTTAAATCTGGTCCTCTGGACATTCAACAGAAAAAAAAAACAAAGCAAAACAACAAAAAAATGTAGAAACGACCACATCAACTCTGTGGATAAATACATCAAGTTCACACGAGAAGATGAAAAAAATGGCAAGTTGGCTTTCTTGGACTGTGAGGTCTCAGTCTCTGATAGAGGACATTTGCAAACTGAGGTGTACCGCAAACCCACCCACACAGACCAGTATTTGCTGTTTGACTCCCATCACCCTTTGGAGCACAAGTTAGGAGTCATCAGGACTCTGTATCACAGAGCAGACAGCGTCCCCACTAGCTCAGCAGCCAGGCAGAAGGAGAAATCCCACACAAGACTGGCTCTAGAGCAATGTGGATATCCTAACTGGGCCTTCCTAAAAGCAGAGAAGAAACCCAAACAGGACACCAGTCAGCCAACAGGTGAAAAGGAGGAACCCAGACCCAGACCAGTGGTCATTCCATATGTTGAGGGAGTATCAGAGAAACTGAGACGTTTATTTTCTAAACATAACGTCCCAGTGGCTTTTAAACCCCAAAATACATTACGGCAAAGACTGGTTCATCCCAAAGATCCAGTCCCCCAGCACAAACAGAGTAATGTTGTGTATGCTGTTCAGTGTCAGGAGGGCTGTGATCATTCTTACATCGGGGAAACAAAACAGCCACTGGCCAAAAGGATGGCCCAGCACAGAAGATCAACATCATCAGGCCAGGACTCTGCGGTCTACACTCATCTCCAGGCCAGCGCCAGCGGTCACTCTTTCAGGGATGAAGATGTGCACATTCTGGATAGAGAGGAACGATGGTTTGAGAGAGGAGTAAAGGAGGCCATCTTTGTGAAAAGAAACCGTCCATCGTTAAACAGGGGTGGAGGCCTACGTGTTCAATTGTCCCCCTCTTACAATGCTGTGATTGCTAGTATCACTCAGCCCTCTGTGAATAGTAAAGAGCCATCAGTGTGCTAATGATCCATTGTTAGGCTGATGGTCCTTCTTGAGCATGTGATCAGCTGGTTTTGGATGTCAGCAGCAAAACTCGTTGATCCACTCTGAGAAGGTGCTATTTAAGAGACCGAGCTGAATACAGCACCTCAGACTGAGGAAGTCTCTCAGATGAGAGACGAAACGTTTCTACATTTTTTTGTTGTTTTGCTTTGTTTTTTTTTGTTGTTTTTTTTAATGTCCAGAGGACCAGATTTAACTTTTTTAGATTTTTCTACCTGGATTATTGAGCATGCATCAGGATAGATGGACAGAGCAGGTCAACAGCTCTTCAATATGAACTGATTAATAACAAAATGAACTGATTAGTAACCAAATTAACTGATTGGTAACTTCAGCCATGAAGACTGATAATAAATGTCTCACACTGTAATTGCATGCAGTCAGATGTGAGCTTAAAATGAAATTCCATGAAACAAGTAAAAATCATTTTGTTAGAACGCTGAGAACAGAATGGGTCATGGAGAAGGCAGAGACATCACGTAGATAGAAGTGAATAAATGAGCAAGGCGATGACCAAGTGGCCGCCATACAAATGTCCTCCACTGTCATCCCTCCATGCAAAGCTGTAGAGGATGAAATCCCTCTGGTGGAATGAGCTCTGAGATTCTCTGGAGGGTCCTTTCCTGATGCTGTGTAAGCTTCAGAAATAGCCTCACACAGCCAGTGTGAGAGGCGCTGAAAAGATAAAGGGCGACCTGCAGGGGTGTCCCTGTAATGCACAAACAGATGCTGATAATGCAGTGGGGCCGTGCGTGCTATATAACATGCAAGCACGTGCATGGGACAGAGGAGGTGAGATGATGCTTCCTCTGGATTGTGAGGAGGAGGATAAAACCTCTCCAAGGTTATCATTCTCAATTTAAATGAGCTTGTGATGTTTTTTGGTATGAAAGCTGGGTTAGGTCTCTTCGCAGCTGAGCTGCCATCAGCTTGAATCCTGAGGCATGACGGGGCAGCAGAGAGTGCAAATAAATCGCTCACTCTCTTTTCTGATGTCAAAGCCAACAGCAGGGCTATTTTAAGTGACAGGAATTTAAGTGAAACCTGGAGCTTTGATCAGAGCGCGCAGAACCATCATTAGGTCCCACTGTGGAGCTAGTGGGCATGACACCAGTCTGTGTCTCCGTACACCTCTCAGGAAACGCTTAATCAGCGGGTGATTAAAAATTGTTCTGTCACCGAAGCCCTCGTGACAGGAAGAAATAGCTGCAGCATAAGTCTTAATTATGCTGAACGCTTGATTTATGTCTATCAGCTGCTGCAGAAAGGACAGCATGCCACCTAGTGGACATGAGATGGCCTCTACACCTTTCTCCTTGCACCAGCGCTGAAAAGCTGTCCACTATGATATAAGCGCATAAAGCAACATTTTTGGCCACGGGCTGTGAGCGAAGGCGTCCACTCCTAACGGTGGGTCGTCTCGTGGGCTCAGTGAGAACCATAATTGACACTGGGCCTTCTCCCGTGTGGTGGACAGATCCACTGCTGCTCAGCCGAACCTGCTCCAAATCCGAGAGATCGGCTCGGGATGGAGGCTCCAGTCTCTGTGGCGGGGACCGCCCCTCGACATGATATCCGCTCCCCTGTTCAGAACGCTGGGAATGTACACTACTCTGATGGAGAGCAGGTTTGTATTTGCCCAACACAACAGCTGTTTCGCGATGCATAACAGTTGGGCTGAGCGCACACCTCCCTGATGGTTTATGTAAGCTGCCGTCACTTTGTTGTCTGTGTGGATCAAAACATGCTGATCCCGCAGCAGGGGGGCAAAATGCTGAGTCACGTTTCAGACCGTGAAAAACATTCTAGCACATTTATGTGAAGCGACATGTGGTCCAGCCACTGTGCTGCCACTGCCTGGGACAGACACATTTCTCCCATCTTGACAGGAACGTGTCAGTGAAAACTGAGACGTGTGATGTAGGCCTGCTGATGGGAACTCCCTCTGACAGAATGAGGGGGTTTCCCCAATGATTCAGATCGGTTCTCACGGAGGGGGGCACAAAGATAATCCGCCTCTTCTGGCACATAGGATTTATGCGCAGGCAGGCAAACCATCTCTGAAGGCGTCTCATGTGAGGTAGGCCCAGCGAAACCACGATGTGGGCTGCTGACATCGTTCCAGGAGTCGCATGACAGGCAGACTGTCACTATGCTGCAGAGTTTGACACGGCGGAGCTGAGCCGACTGAGCTTCGGCTTTTAGCTGTGATAAGTGGGCTCTCATTGTGGTTGAGTTTAGCTCCACTTCCAGATAAACAATCATTTGGGATGGACGAACAGAACCTTTTTCCCAGTTTATAGAAAACCTCAGGTTTAGCAGGTGTAACACTAGTGTTACAGATTTCACAGAGGAATCATTCAATTCACTGCGTGACTCTTCGTCAAAGAAAGGCGGTGGCGTCGTCCTGCGCGTAGTGTCCAGCCACGGAAAAAACTCTGCGGAGCTGCTGCTCGCATCACCTTTTTCGAGGGAATTATCCGATTTACCACGAGGAAAAAAGTTAGAAAAGGCGATGGTGTCGTCCAGCGAGTAGCAGCCCACCATGGACAAACACTCAGCGGAGCTGCTGCTAACATCGCCTTTTTCGAGGGAATCATCCGATTCACCGTGAGGAAAAAACGTTAGAAAAGGCGATGGCGTTGTCCAGCGGGTAGCGGCCCGCCACGGAAAAACACTCCTCTGCACTTACCTTGAACAAGGCTGCTCGTCTCTGCTTCCCCTCAGGGAGGAAGAGTTCACCAGGACGGCAGGAGGTTGGCATGGCGGAGACCCAGAAATCCTTAGCAAAAGTTGTGCCGGTCAACGCTGGACATCTTTTCCTTCTTCGTTCTTCTGACAGTGCTAGCTAGCTGGCTGAAGAAAAAATTGGAGCCGATTACCTGGTCTCACCGTAATTTATACGAAACGGGGGTGAGGCCCACACAGCAGGTGGGCGTGGACTAAAGTTTTCAGTGCTGCGCTGCGCGCGTAGGGATAAACCCACTAGCGATAGCCTTAAAGTGCGAAGCCTATACAAAATAGAACTAACCAATGAAATGACCAAACAGGTCACAGTTGAACCAATGAAATGGGAATGGGAGAAGAGAACGGGGAGGGGGAATCCCCTCCTCCTCCTCTCGGTCTGTGTGTTAAACAGTAAAATAAAGTCACAAAGACCCACCCCACAAGAGAGACGTGTACTGGGCAGCTATGTGAGCGCCCAGTTGTGACGAAGCTAAATGTTTTTGGTGGCAGGAAGCTCGTTAGCCTGTAAAAAAAAAAAACATAAATTAGACACAGCATTGTATAAGTCGCGGGGTTTAAAGTCTGTGAAAAAATTGGCAGCTTATAGACCGGAAAGTACGGTAGATATGAGTTGTTGAAATAGCACAGAATTGTGGAACGAGTTACCTGCCAAAAAACGTACAGAAGAATAACGGACTTGCATGTTTTTATAGTACCTCAGTAAAGCATGGTGGCAGATTGTTCCTGTGTACACACAGAGTTATCCTTGTGTTATTACCAGAACACAGAACTGATCTTTAGTCATCAACAAATGTAGAAGCTATTCTGGTGTCTAACACACTCATGAATGTTCTGTCTCTTTCAGGGTTCTGGTTTTGGAGAAAGGAGAGATGGCAGAGTTTGACTCCCCCTCCAGCCTCATCAGTCAGAAGGGAGCGTTTTACAGGATGGCCAAGGACGCCGGTCTAGTCTGAAGCAGGAAGTACTGGACATTTTTCAGCCGTCTCCATCTGTAACCATCTCCTCTGTCTCCTGCTGAAAATGTTCCATCTCTGAAAGCATCAGGGAGACAAACCAGACTTTATTTCAGTTTAAGCAAAAGCTTTATGAACAGTTTGACTTTACATTCTCCATCTCAGAACTCCATCCCAGTTTAAGGATGTTTTATGTCCACTCTGTCCCTGACATAACTACTTCTTCTTTGTACTATCTGTCCCTTTTTTCTTTTTATTCTTTGCACTATCTGACCTGGGGCAGCATGTCCAAGGTGAAATTCTGCAGATCCTCACCACTACTGAGTATGGGACAAAGACTGTTGTCCTGAGAGTTTTTAAATCTTATGTGCCAAATACTGCCTTTGTTTGCTTTGAAATACATCTTTTAACAAGCTGCGTTTTGAAAAAAAGACACCGATGCTTCTGATCAATGGGTCTTAGGTGGGAGTTGTTTATGTCCTGGCAAAGTGTTTCAGATGGTTTACTGCCCACAGCTAGATCTTGTCAAATAAATAAAAAAACACATTCATTAATCAACCAGGTGCACATGAAGCAACACTGTTGGTTAGTGGAGCACTGCAGGCTTCGCCCCTGCTTCACGCATACTCACCTAACTCTGCTCTGTGACTACCTCTGTAACCAGCTTAAAGGTGTAGCCTCCCACCATTCTGCCCCAGGCTCTTTGCGCATGTCACCAAAGCGGGAAGACATTAAACTAAGTCCTACATATCTGTATTTATTTTTATTTTCTGTGTAAAGAAAATCAAAAAATATCCCAAGGTTTGTCTGGACAGGTCACGCCCAGAGGCAGTGGGTTCTTGCTGTCTCAGCTGATGTTTGTGGCTCAGAAATTAGGTTGAGCCAAACACTTTTGTTTCTAGTCCAACCCTATGAGATGATGCACCGTAACACAGAGAAACTCTCTGTAGATAGATTTTGCAATATTTAAAAATTGCAGGACAATCCTAAAATGTTCAGTGGATTGTTCCTCATTTATGTTCAGTGCCTCCACAAGGAGGTATGAACTAGAAACTCCAGAAGCAAATGAACCTGTTTAGATCACGTCTTACTAAATAATTTATCAATATTTGAATCTAGCATTCGTTACACAAAGATGTCAATGATTTGTTTCCACCCCTGCTCCAAAAGAAGAGTGTCCACTCTTTCTTCTATGTCTGTTACTTTGATAGTAAATGTTTACTTTTTACATCTAATGCACAAAAGGTTCAAGATGGGATTTCAGTCTTCTGTCACTTTATTTATTGTTTGTGTCCTCTCAGCAGCAGCTGCTGATTATAGTAACTTTACCTATGTAAAAAAACAGTGCCTTTTTTCTTCTGAGTCTGCTTTTTTAAGAAAAGTCTGTATCTGATTGGGCTGCAACTGTTGTGGAGACAAAATTCAGAGAAAGTGCTAAATGTTTTCGTTAGAATTACCCTGAGTGACACATTTACAAATTCTGAAACAAATTTTGTCAGCAGTTTGCAAAATATTGAGTAAAAGAACATCTCCAATGCTCTAAAACTACAGGAACCGAGAAGGGTTCCAGGTGGCTTTCAGATGCCCACAATGACTTTTCTGAGAGAAAAATTTGTCTTGAGACTCTTCTGAACATGTTAAAAGTTACATTAAACACTTGTCTGGAAACATTTCAAGACATTATGGAGACTTCCTCAAGAATGCTCATCACAGGTTGTTTATAACAGTTGCAGCCCAGTGACAAAGTGAGACTTGTGTGTGTATATATGTACATATATATTTTAGGGTCACTCAGAAAAACTAAAATGTGGAGAAAGATTTATTTAGTTATCCTGATGCATCCTCAATAATCCAGGTAGAAAAATCCAAAAAAGTTCCATCTGGTCCTCTGGACATTCAAAAAAAAAGCAAAAAAATGTAGATACGTTTTGTCTCTCATCCGAAAGACTTCCTCAGTCTGAGGTGCTGGATTCAGCTCAGTCTCTTAAATAGCACCTTCTCAGAGTGGATCAACCAGTTTGCTGCTGACAACCAAAACCAGCTGCTCACATGGTCAAGAAGGACCATCAGCCTAACAATGGATCATTAGCACACTGATGGCTGTTTACTATTCACAGGGGGTTGAGTGATACTAGCAATCACAGCATTGTAAGAGGGGGACAATTGAACACGTAGGCCTCCACCCCTGTTTAACGATGGACGGTTTCTTTTCACAAAGATGGCCTCCTTTACTCCTCTCTCAAACCATCTTTCCTCTCTGTCCAGGATGTGAACATCATCATTCCTGAAAGAGTGACCGCTGGCCTGGAGATGAGTGTAGACCGCAGAGTCCTGGCCTGATGTTGTTGATCTTCTGTGATGGACCATCCTTTTGGCCAGTGGCTGTTTAGTTTCCCCGTTCTAAGACTGATCACAGCCCTCCTGACACTGAACAGCATACACAATATTACTCTGTTTGTGCCGGGGGACTGGATCTTTCGGATGAACCAGTCTTTGCCATAATGTATTTTGGGGAATAAAAGCCACTGAGACATTGTGTTTAGAAAATAAACGTCTCAGTTTCTCTGATACTCCCTCAACATATGGAATGACCACTGGTCTGGGTCTGGGTTCCTCCTTTTCACCTGATGGCTGACTGGAGTCCTGTTTGGGTTTCTTCTCTGCTTTCAGGAAGGCCCTTTTGGGATATCCACATTGCTTTAGAGCCTGTCTTGTGTGGGATTTCGCCTTCTGCCTGTCTCCTGAGTTAGTGGGGATGCTGCTCTGTGGTACAGAGTCCTGATGACTCCTAACTTGTGCTCCAAAGGGTGATGGGAGTCAAACTGCAAATACTGGTCTGTGTGGGTGGGTTTGCAGTACACCTCAGTTTGCAAATGTCCTCTATCAGAGACTGAGACCTCACAGTCCAAGAAAGCCAACCTGCCATTTTTTTCATCTTCTTGTGTGAACTTGATGTATTTATCCACAGAGTTGATGTGGTCAGTAAAATATCCTGATGCATGCTCAATAATCCAGGTAGAAAAATCCAAAAAAGTTCAATCTGTTCCTCTGGACATTCAAAAAAACAAAACAAAGCAAAAAAATCTAGAAACGTTTCGTCTCTCATCCAACGAAAGAGACGAAGAGACGAAACGTTTCTAGATTTTTTTGCTTTGTTTTTTTTTTTTTTTTGAATGTCCAGAGGACCAGATTGAACTTTTTCTTCTCGCGTGAACTTGATGTATTTATCCACAGAGTTGATGTGGTCAGTAAAATGTTGGACTTCCTGAGATTTAATTTTAACCCAGGTGTCGTCGACATTCCTGAACCAATGACTTGGTGGTGTCCCTGAAAAGGACGTCAAGGCTCTCTTTTCTACCTCCTCCATGTACAGGTTGGCAACAATAGGAGAAACTGGAGACCCCATAGCACACCCATGTTTCTGTCTATAATATTGCTCCTCATATGTGAAGTACATTGACTGCAGGCACAGTTTCAAGAGTTGACACAGTTGTTCTGTGGAAAATGTGGTCCTGCTGCTCAGAGTCAAGGCCGGATTAACCATATGGGCAACTGGGCAACTGCCCAGGGGCCCATGATCTCTAAGGGGCCCAGGGCAATGAGGGCACAAGCAGAATATCTGGTTATCTCCCGCTTTACTCGGAGCCCTGCGTTGCACAGACTGCTGCGCTTCCACTGCTTTTGTGCAGCCCCGCCTCATCCCAGGGCGGCTGCTGCAGCTCTCGTTTTTGTTTTTTCTTTCAATCTGATCCTCAACTGTGCGACCTGTCAATCAACTCAGAAAGCGTGTCAGTAACTGACCAATCGACAACCTCAATTTGTCCCGAAGGTAAACGCCCCTTACCTGCTGACAAGCTCATCAGTTGTTTTTTTTTCTTGAGAAACATTGTTTTAATTAAAACAACAAGTTTGTATCTGTTGTAAGATGATTTTAGCAGTTTTGCAGTTTTTTAATCTACTTAATGAAGAATAGTATGACTTAAAATCGTTCATCAAACAGGAAGGAAGGCCCCCTCCTCTTACTACAGTGAATATGGTACTTTCCTATAAGTACGAATATATTTATGGCATCAGAGAAAGCTGAGCTTAAGTTATCCACATAAAGTAAAATGTTATCAGCATGAAAAGAAGGAATGTTAAGTTTGAGATTAATCCAGTTTCTGATGTTTGACCAAAGACTTTGTATTGACATGAACAAAAAAATTGCTTGAGGGATTCATCTTCTGATTTACAAAAGGCACACAAATCAACCTCAAAATTAAATATTCTTTGCAGAAACATGGCTACAGGATATATCTTATTTATTATTTTAAAATGATTCTCCTTCACTTTAGGAGATTTAGGCCATTTGACAAATTTAGAGTGAGCAGAAAACATTCTGGTTTTATAATTTATATTGGGAGGTTTCTTGAAGGAATATTTGTTATAATCAGTAAATCATTTGTTGCAAACATTTATTGATGATCTTATTGCATTTGAAGTTAGCTAAGTTACAGTAATTTAATTTTAATTGTCACCTTTGAATATATAATATTTTTAATTCATTGAATCAGCTGTTGGTCAGGTTAATTCTTGTCGTGCCATTAACTCTAAAATAGTTACTGGATCAAGTGTTTACTTCCATCCATCCGTGGGGGTAGCAGCCTAAGTAGGGAGGTCCAGACTTCCCTCTCCCCAGCCACTTGGACCAGCTCCTCCAGGGGAATCCCAAGGCGTTCCAAGTGTTTACTTAAATAGGTAAAACTAGATGTTAAACAACTATTAAAATACACCAGAATGCAGGAAATGGCATCTACTTTATTCAAAATTTTCTGGGGGAGGACCCCCAGACCCCCCCCCCCCCCCCCCCCATCGATGTGTCCCCCACACACATTATAAATGCTTCTGACACCAGTGGTCAACACTTACTAAACAAGTACACATATGGTGCCATGTGGTGTTCAAAATGCGTTCGACTTAATTCAGTCTTGATGATTTGTGTCAATGAGCATTTGGAATTT